CTAATTGTTTGAGGTGTTTACAAACATAGAGAACTTAACAATTATAGACCTTATCAACATATAAAATATAGAATTCATTTCTAAAGGATGTACTTAGGTCAGGTGTGTGAATTTTTGTCAGATGTTCGAACTCCTTGGTTATTTTCCATCAATACAGGGTAAAATATTTTTCCCATAACACCTATTTTTCTTATCATATCAGAGTTCAATAGCTCATAAAAAGTCATTTACCAACATTTAAGCAGATTTTAGATTTCTTTTCTTTCAATTTGAGAACTTAAACCAATGCAAATCTAAGGTAAATGTCAGAGTCAACCTTTTTTATCGCCATTTAGTAAACATTAAATATCTCGAAAAGGATATTTATAACCTATCATTTTTTTTATCTTATTTTGCTCAATACCTAATACTCTTCTGATCGACTTGTAGCAGCAATTTAAAATTCGCGATTTTCTTAATTTCACCTAAGTACATCCTTAAATGAGTATGGCGCAGGATTTACTTCTGCTAACCCATCCGGAGCACCCGATATAATACCGGGTTTTGGTGGGATTCGTGTGGGTCAGTCCTTAGTTTTTGATTGAGAGTATGTAGATTATTGTTTGTCTTTATATCGTTTTTTCGATTTTTGCCATGATCTTTTTACGTCCCTCTTCAACTTTATATATGTATATATATATATATGTACAAGTCTAAATTGAAAACAACGTTCAAACCTATGATTGCGTTGGATAAAAACGGCAATTTTTATACGTGTGCATGCAAAATAAATTTCTTGTTAGAGGGGGGAATAAAGCCATCACTTTCTCTTCTTTTGTCACCCTTTTACATCGTATCAGGTTCCTGATCATTGTGTTAGCTTTTGCAGTTAAAGTAATTAAGTTATTGAGATATAGGATAGGCCTAGTTTCATACGACCTTAACCGAAACACCTTTTATATAATAAGGAACACAGACTCAGCTCTGTGATTCTTTTCTACGAATCATACACTATCTAAATTATAAGCAGATGCGAGTTTCTTTAAAAGTACACAAATAAATGCTGACAAAAGTATTCCTTAACATAAAATTATTATCATACATTGAGTAAACTTATTCTAGATATAATAGTAACTCTAAATACAAGTTCATAGAAAATTAGAAATTATTACAAGTTATACTGGAATGGTCCAGGATCCGACTGATGTTGATATGTTTATGTGATGATATGTGATGTGTATGTTACTGGAGTCCGTCTCCGAATAAGGGACCACCATATTACCAGTGTTAAGACCTCAATGTTCAATAATTTTCATATTCTACCGCAGATTGGCTGTCAAAATGCTAACTGTACAATTTTCAATAACAGTTAAGGTGCCTCGGGTGTCTTCCTCCATCTTGGATTTTGAAGTAGTTGGTCTAGATCTTTAATGACATGTGCACATTTTGAGAGTAGTATGTAATTCATGTGTAAGACTTTTGATATAAAAATAGAAATTATGTGTTTTATCATATTTACAGCTGTAGTTTCTAAAAAAAACACCACATTTGTTTTTTATTCATGTTTTTTCAACTTTTCCAAATAAGGGGAAATAACTCATATAGTAGGAGAGATAACTCAGATAAAGTAATTTTCTAATAGAAAGTGTTGTGAATTTAACTATTTTAATATGTAGCAAGAAAACAAGTTCGGTGACCCCGTATTTTCTTTTTCTTATCTTAAAGCATGTTATAAGAGCTATCTACTCACATTTTATCTCAACATTCTAATCTGCTAATAGGTAATTTTCTTTTTATCACACAAAATTGGATTTTCCATGCATAATCTATACAAAATCTTACAATTTTGCCCAACCTGTAGCGTGAAAAAAAGTCCAGTGACCCCCAATTTTTATTATATTTTTGAAAAAAGCATGATAAAAACTTCATTTTGACAAGTTATCAAAAAATTCTATTGATTTTAATTAAGACGCCCCAGCCACCTTAACAGCTAAAACACTCTCACAATAACAGATAACAAAAATAATAATAGTCCTATAACAGAAAGCAAGGAATAAGACAATGACAGCTGACAGCAAATATGTTTTAAGAATAACTGATAACAAACAATTAAATTGCCCCAAAACAGCATAACAGTTAAACCCCTTGTCCTCCTCTGTATTGTTATTGCTTGTAAATCTTCGTTAGACATACAATGCACCTGGTGTATAAAATTATGTTCTTTCGAATCCTAATTCTTCAACGGCGCTGCCCAAAAATGTCCAATAAGTTCCTGATCTTGACATTTCACGAAATAATATAAATTCGCTCATCGGCTGACAAAGAAATTTAGCTAAATAAAATGACGTGATCTTTGATTTTCTCGGACAATTAAGCAGCCATCCACATTGAGATTAAAATTCATTCAAACAGGTGCTCGGAAGAAATTACTTTCTGAACGTACAGTTTTTGGTGGACATGATACATCAGAAACAATTAACAACAAGAAAAATGAGCAGGGCATTGGATTTGACAGGACTATATGGTATTAAGTCAGCAACGATGTCGTCTTCTGGGAATAAATACTGTCTCGAGTCAGTCGATTTTAGAATTTCACCAAGAACATAGACATCAATATATTCAGATAGTAAAGATTGATTTACATTTCTCAAGATGAGGTAGTTGTAATCTAAAGTTTCTTTATGTACGTCATAGAAACGAAAATCCTATAAAATAAATTCTTGTAGCAGTAGTTTATCATCTTGGGAAACAGCAATTGAGAGAATTTATACTAATTAGATAAATCAAAATTAAAATTAAAATAATACTTTACAAAAATGTGTTGCGTTCGACGCGCTTTTCTGGGTTTACCTTCATCAGGGACGCTCATATCAAGCTCGTAAAATTGAAAGCAAAAGATGTATCACTACCTAAAAGAAGACATTAGGTAAGGTATACATGTACATAATTAAGACACCAACCCAACAGCAAAACAAGGGTTCACAGTTAAAATATCTCTCTTTTTTTACTGTCTATAACTAAATGACTCAATGTCATGTTGGAAGTCTATCTCATGAGGGAATTACTGCAGGTATCACAAATAAAACATTTGATCAGTGAGATAATAAAATAAAAGAAAACATAATGATCGACATGAATCAGATATGTGAAAATTGCGACAATAAATATCACGAAACCTTCAGTTGATCTATGAACCACGTGAATGCACATTTTCTGACAAACATGTACACCTAAAATGTATTCAAACTGTTGTTAATTCATAACTTCATAATAACTTCAAAAATAATTAAAAGAAAATAGGGACAACAATAGATATATATTAAGACAGGCATATACATTTACAATACTTAAATACTCAAAAAGCATATCGCTTATTACTGTTAAACGAACTGTATATGTTTAAGGAAACATAAGACAAGAGGCTGAAGATACCAAGGTGAGATTCAAAACTCATTTGTCGAAAACAAACCACGAACGCCAAGAGCACATGATACGACCTTATATTGCATGTTGAGATTGTTGCCAACCATTCCGTAAGTCCCATACCTCTGGAGTGACAATCCAGCAAATTAAATAAATTAAAAGGTAGCTTCCTTTCATCAATCAAAACAATAAAGTAAAATTTGGAGAAAACCAATCTAGGTTTACTGGAGAAAGTGCGTTATTTGTGAAAAACTGCCTTAAATGTAGCTGTCAAAGTTCCATCACTCTCGAACGACAAACCGGAAAAAATAAAAAAATAAAGCACAAGGGAGCTTCCTTTCGTCAATCCCCGCAATGATGTACCGTTTTGAGGAAATGAATTCAGGAATACTGGAGTTAGCGCGCGATTATGAAAAATCACCTATCATCTAAGGGTCAAAGTTCCGTAACTCTGAAATGACAGCACAAACAGCATTTTCCAAAAGACCAAACAAGTGAAAAAGTATATCTCAAAAAACATGTTTAACTCCGCCGCATTTTTGCGCCTGTCCCAAGTCAGGAGCCTCTGGCCTTTGTTAGTCTTGTATCATTTTTAATTTTAGTTTCCTGTGTATATTTGGAGTTTAGTATGACGTCCATTATCACTGAACTAGTATACATATTTGTTTAGGGGCCAACTGAAGGACGCCTTTGGGTGCGGGAGTTTCTCGCTACATTGAAGACCCATCGGTGGCCTTCGGCTGTTGTCTGCTCTATGGTCGGGTTGTTGTCTCTTTGACACATTCCCCATTTCAATTCTCAATTTTATTAAACAAAACGCATTTGACTAACAGGTCGAACAACGGATGTTCTTAAACCCTGCTGACTGCCATTGGCGACTGCCAAATAAACGGATCACAAGATGTAACAAAATGGATCTTTATTGTTAATTTAATACCAAACAGAAAACAATAAACTTGCTGAAAAGATGGTATACCGCAAACATGAGGTGCAAAAATTTGTACACCATATCCGGATTTCGACAATTAATGTCTCTTCAGTGATGTTAGGAATCGAAACGGTATTTTTAAGGCCATATAATTTATTTGGGATAGACTCTTGAATTTTGAAGAGTCGAAATAGGATGAACGGATCATATAAACCCGAAGGCAAATATAATACAAGCCCAATCGAAAAAAATATAAATAAGTCTAAATTGAAAACAACGTTCAAACCTATGATTGCGTTGGATAAAAACCGCAATTTTTATACCTGTGCATGCAAAACAAATTTCTTGGTAGAGGGGTCTAAATACAGCACAAACAACATTTTCCAAAAAAGTGAAAAAGTATATTTAAACAAAACGCATTTGACTAACAGGTCGAACAACGGCATGTTCTTAAACCCTGCTTACTGCCATTGGCGACTGTCAAATAAACGGATCACAAGATGTAACAAAATGAATACATGTATAGAGCAATTCCCCTCTGTCAAATTGATTGGAAATCAGGGTCAAGTAATGTGCTCGCTACTACAGGAAACGTACGAAAGTAGCCATGTATGATGGTTTGATACTGCTGCTCATGAAAACTTATACAAAAAAGAAACTACAATAAAAGCTGTATTCGATTACCTTTTTTATTACAGTTTGCTTGTTATTCTTCTTCTGACACTTACTAAACCTGTTCCATAAGATTCTGTCCTTTTCAAATCGAATTCTTCGACGGCGCTGTCTAAAAATTTCCAACTAGTTCCTTTGCTTAATATACCACGAAGTAATATATATTTACTCATTGGCCGACAAAGAAACTTAGCAAAGTGTAAAATGAGGTGCTCTTTAATATTCTCAGACAAACAACCATACACGTTGAAATTAAAAACCGTTCCAAATGGTGCTTGATGGAAATTACTTATTGAAAGTAAAGTTCTTTGAGGACAATTTAAATCAGACACAACAACCGTTGTTCGTTTTGAAATAATCAGAGGCGCATTCGATTTGCTAGCCATGTATGGTACCATTGCAACAACTATTTCATCCTCAGGGAATAAGTACTGCTGATGGACAGTCGATGTTAGAACTTGACCAAGCAGATTGACATCAATATATTCAGCTTTTAAAGATTGGTTTTCATTCTTTATGACATTGTACTTCATCTGTAGAGTTCTTTTGTGTGTTTCGTAATATCGAAAATCCTGTTAAAAAGAAAAGATATTCTTAAATCATTTATAGCATATAGCTATTAAAAATTCCAGTTCAAAAATTAAGAAGTTAAAAAAATACTAAGATTTCAAGTCTCTTAGGCAAAGTTGACCTCAGATAGTTTGGCTATTCCATTAGCCTGTTTTTTTTTTTATTTTATAGCTCCTAACGTTGCAGCGTTTAAAGCATCTCTGACTTTCAAAATCATTACATTTGAGCCTTGGCAATGAAAAAAAAATTCCATAAATGCGAAAATTATAAAGAATAGGAAAAAATCACTTAAAAATTAAAGAATTCAAAAATGAAGGACAGTCTGGAATCTATATCCAGACCCTCATACTTACTTGTTCTAATGTTTTATTGTATTTTCCTTTGATTATCAGTTGAAGTAGCGGTGTATGTGTTCTAATTACTGTAGTTTTATGCCACAAGACTTCCGGTCGGTAAAGAGGCCCTCCTTTGTCCATCCATTTTATCATTATTCTATTTATTCCTTTACCAGCGTATTCTTTGGAGACTCTCCCTGCCCTATTTATTACACTTTTCCCATCATCCACAGTTGTAAATAAACCAAATCCTACCTAAAGTATAGAAAAGCTATTTAATATCAACACAAAACATTTTAAACATTATAATTTCAGGTTCCTAGATTGAAGTTTTTTCATATTTATTTCCAAAAATAATTTAGAGGGGTTATCAGAAACTATACGTTAAAGAAAACCGCACAATCGGGCCATTAGTTTTCTCGTTTGAATTGTTTAACATTTTTCATTCAGGGGTATTTATAGCTAAGCCTTACAATGCGGCATGGGTTTTGTTTAGTGTTGAAGGCCGTTTGGTGATCTATAATTGATTTAAATTTATGAACCACTCAGTAAAGACCCATCTTAATTCGATTTAGTTGATAATTTCAACAACACTTACCGTTATCTTGATGATATTTTTTCTTTAAATAATCAAGAATTCTATAAATATACCACCGAAATTTTCCCAATTGAATTGAACCTACTTTAAATAAATCAAATATTAACAGCAATAACTATCTTTTCTAGATTTAGATATTTCAGTTAACACTAAAATTTACGACGATTTTCTTTCCCTAATGATTATTTCCCTTTTTGCACGGTGAAATTCGTTTAGCGCAGTCATACGGTGTTTACAAATCACAACTAGTTGGCCATGATTGTGTCCTTAGTGACGTTTTGGATTTCAATAAGCGTAATCTATGAATTACTGGTAAATTATTAAGTCATAGATTTCGTTACCACAAATTACTGAAAACCTTCACTAGACACGTCTATATTTACAAAGAATTGGTTTGCAAGTTTCGCTGTTATTGTAGAAAACTTATTTCAAACGGAATAATACAAATAATGTTACGGAGATGTTGTTTACCGAGCCCGGAAATTAAGATAAAATCCCGGTAAAATTATCAATCTTTTAAATAAACTTATTCTAATAGGGAGCCAATTCAACACTATAATTAGATCTTTGAATATTGTTTTTTTAATTGGTAAAAATATTGATTTTGTTATTAATAATTTTAAAAACATACTAAATATTATTGGTATACACATCTGCACATTCACGGTACTACATTTACAATCTGTCGATACCTATATTTTGGCATTGCCCAAGGTCACATTTTTCTCTGACTGTTAATGAAGTCTGTACACTAAATTCATTGGATGCTGGATGTGTATTGGTTGATCTTAGATACACAAATATTGTATTACTTGTTGTTGGCTTTGAACTAGTTGTCAAGAACTGCGAGTACTCTCAGATATTGACTAAGTGTCTTTTATGTTGTGGCATGCATAGATACGCTGCCACGTCCGGTCTGTGATTTCGTTAGATGATTTATGCTTTGTACCGATCTGATGAGTAAAGCCCTTTTCAACTGTTTTTTTATAGTAAGTTATTATGTTCTTATTTGTACTATAACACCATTGCCTCAGGTTAGTGGGTGGGTTTGGCGCCAGCGAACTGTTTAACCCCGCTACATTCTTTTTGTGCCTGTCCCAAGTCAGGAGCCTGTTGTTCAGTGGTTGTCCTATATTCATGCCTGTCATATTTGTTGATCGTAAATTGTTTTGTTATGAATAAGGCCGTTAGTGTTCTCAACTGAATTGTTTCATATTTATTATAATTCTTGATCGTGCCTGTTACACGACTTTAACTCGACCATTCCCGAGTCCTTAATCACTCCATCACGATTCCAACCCGACCACTAATTGAATACATATTCGATAAATCCGACCAATTCATAATCTCTACACGATCTTTACTCGACTAGCTAGACCAAATCAACTATACTCGATCTCAGCCTGATCTCGACCAGACCAGATCGACCTGATCGTAAAGGGGTCGTAAAGATAGTCCGAAATTGGAAACTGACAACTAGTTCAAAGCCAACAACAAGTAATACAATATTCGTGTATCTAAGATCAACCAATACACATCCAGTATCCAATGGATTTAGTGTACAGACTTCATTAACAGTCAGAGAAAAATGTGACCTTGGGGAATGCCAAAATTTGTATGTACAATTTCAGTATAAAAATGTCTGATGTTTTATGCCCCGCCGCAGCGGAGGGGGCATTAAGTGTTACCCTTGTCCGTCTGTAAGTACGTACGTATGTCCCAACAAATAGTTTTCATTCTCTAATTTTATTTTGCCTCAACCAAATTTTACGAAACGTATACACAATGCCTATAAATAAAACACAGATCAAGTGCGAGTTTGGGTGGCGTCACTATTACTGTTCTCTTGAGTAATCACCCTTTATAACGTTATATGCATGCAAGCTTGGGCATTATCTGTGTCCAATGGACACTATCTCCGTTTATTTGGTTAGATTCAGTAGTTCACAGAAGGTCTGAGTAAAATCATACATTTAAAATATCTACATGGAAATAAAGCAGTTGGATTTGTAGGTAAGGTATTTAGAGCTCAGAGAGCCAGGTTAATAGCAGAGACGGAGCTTGAAGAGAGCGTAAAATTCAAACAAGAAGACGTTAACAGCAACGGGCGCCGAGAAATCTAGGTGAGGCAGTGGCTGACTCGGCGGCCACTGAGTGTGCAGTATGAGAGACTTGCAGGAGCTCAACAAAGAGGACCCCAATGGTTATGAAAACTTCCTCAGAGTGGACGCTGATATGTTATGGGATTTTTACTGCTCTTTTTCTTGAAATAACACCATGAAATGAGATTTGTTACTGGATTAGTACTTATGTTAGATATCAATATAAATAAATTTTACCATCCCCTTTACTTGCTTTCTTACGAATTAAGCGTACTGTTGTGTCATATATATGTGCATATTTATGTTATAAGTATTTTCCATAGATTTGATATCCAGTAGTTGAATGGTTAAAGATATTTCTTTTTGGTGTATCCATGGCAACAACCTGCATGAATTTCCTAAAACAATATTGCAAAAAGTAGAATTTCAATCCCCTGGAGTGATACCTTTTCTGAAAATGTTTACATGTACATATATCTATCAAGTGATCAAATGAAAATCATTTGTCTTTCGTCTCATTTTTATGTAAAATTGCGTGTGAAAAAAGTGTTTGTAAACATTTGACCGTACGGTGACCAAAAGTTGTTAATTTCGGCGTCATTTTGTGTCCTGTGGAGAGTTGTCTCATTGTCAATTATACTACATCTTCTTATTTTTATACTGCAAAACTTTCTGGACATACGGAAAATACAGACAGTCAAACAGAAAATAGCCCATAAAACAGGTAAAAAATAATCTGTGGGTTCTTATAAACCCACTTTGAAGGCTAAATTAGTCATATGCTGTCTAATAATGTATTTTATTGCACTTAATATTTGAAAAATCCTCCGGGGCCAAAATGCAGGATCTCTTTCCCTGCCGGAACATCTGAGATCATCCCATGTTTTGTTGGTTTTGTATTTCTAAATTTTTAGTTTTTTATGTTGTGTTATGTGGACTGCTGTTTGTCTTCTCGTCGGTTTTCGTTTTTCGCAATGGCTGTGTCGGTTTGTTTTCGACCTTTGAGTTTGATTATTCCTTTGGTATCTTTTGACTCTCTTTTAAAATTGTACCCCTCCTTGCAAAAGTACAGACAAATTAAAATTAAATAGTGACAACATATTTTTGCGAAATTATGAGATTAAATCAGATCTTCACACACTTTTAGAGAATCGTGTAGCAGTCATGTGTACTCTTGTATGGCCGAGTAGAGATCGAAGAGTGGTCGAATGTGGTCAAGTAGAGATCGGGTATCGGTCGAGTTGGTCTGGGATAAAAAAAATATAGAAGTCGCAGTGATCTGGAAGCGAGCGGGCATTGGTCGAGTTAATCTGGACCACGGATCTCAGGTAGAAAGTCAGATCGATGACGACCAAGGTAGACAACCCCGAACATTATAGTCGATTGAGTCAGACCAGTCTCCCGATCACTTAATCTGTCTTGATCGGGCTTGATCGAGTTGATCTGATCGGCAGTGTGAACCTAGCTTAATGGGAATTTATTCTTTAGATTAACGTATAAATCTGTGAGAAGGGAATGTAGGATTTTTCTTGAACAATTTCTATTCAACAGTGGTCGATTGTATAATTGAGCTTATCAGCATGGTTGTTTAGTGTGTTGTTTTTATGGGACGATTTAATGTAAGCGAGCGGCTGTGTAACATTAGTTTTAATTTGATGATTTATATTTTGGAGAACACGTTTTTACTCTACGAAAGCCCATTTAGGACCTCCTAAAAATATATATTTGAATTCGAAATCACGAATTTAAATCGTTATTACGAATTGAAGAATTCGCTATTAAAGATTAAACTCGTGATAACGAGTTTCCTGAATTAGTTAAAACAGTTTTTGTATTTCGTTATAACGAATTTAAATTCGTTATCACAATTTTTTGTAATTAGAGATAACGGATCAAAATCTTAATAACGAATTTTATAAATCGTGATAACGAATTGTATAAATCGTTATAACGGATTGAATTCGTGATAGTAGAATTTGTTATCACATTTTTTTGGTAATTCGTGATAACGGATTAAAATCGTAATAATGAATTTCATAAATGGTTATAACGGGTTAAATTCGTTATATCAAATTATACAATTTGTTATAACGATTTTAAACGGTTATCACGAATATCAATAATCTGTGATCACGAATTAATTCAGTAATCACGAATTACCAAAAAAACTGTGATAACAATTTACACAAATTTGTGAGAACGATTTTAATCCGTAATAACGAATTATAAAGTTCGTTATCACGAATTACAAAAAAATGCGATAAGTAATTTACTCCGTTATTACGAATTATAAAAACTGTTATAACTAATTCCATAAATTCGTGATAACGAATTTAATCTGTGATAACGAATTCTAGAATTCGTGATAACAATTCAAATTCGTGATAACAATTCAAATTCGTGATATCGAATTCAAATTATATTTTCTGGAGGTTCTAAATGGACTTCCGTACTAATGCAGATAACTATCAACAGAACTTATTTGGTCTCGGTGGTTTTTCTTTATCCTGCAATCAGCCAACAATTGTACAAGTACACAAGTAAAGTTTGCTTTA